GGACTTCCTTGGGAGAAGGGGACCTCATTACCACTCCTCTTTCCCAAACTCAAGTTGAAAAGAGGCAGATTTGTCCCAACACAGTTAGGTGACCTCTAAGGGGAGGGTGGTGGGTGTTGGAGAGCTTGCCCAATGCCTGGCACTCGATGTTTGTCCTGTGAGTGAGTGAAAGATTGAGCTAGTGAAGAACACAGCCTAAATTCCTCAATATGTTTATTTTCAACACCTAGGGTTGAATGGTAACAAAGGTGGAGCACTGGTAAACACAGCTATTTAACATTTACAAATACCTCCTGTATATGTGTCCATCCTACAGCTGGCAAATGCAGATCTTAAAAGAAGGGCAGGCAAGGAGAGCCCTGTGCCCCTTGGGGCAGCAGACAGATTCCTGCACTGGGAACCTGAAGATCCACTACTTCTCCCTCTATGGGACTTAAGTAAGTTACTAGATCTCAGAACCTTAGTTTTTCCCCCTGTAAAATGAAGATAATTCTACCCACCAAGGCTAAGGCTGGTCAGAGGAGATATAAGAGGTAAAAGCAGCTTGTAGACTTAAAAGGGATATAAGATGTTCCAATTTATTACCATGCTGGGTTAAAAAAAACAACACCCAGTTGCCATCGAGTTGACTCTGGTGTCAAAGCAAAACTGTGCTCCACAAGGATTTCGATGGCTGAGTTTTTGGAAGTAGATGGTGAGACCTTTCTTCCAAGGTGCTTGTGGGTAGATTAGAACCTCCAACCTTTAGGTTAGCAGCCAAGCACATCAACCATTTGTACCACTCAGGGAGCTACAAATAAGCGTCTTAGATCTACCAGTTTGTCCTTTGTCCCACTTTTTTTTTTTTAAATTTTATTGTGTTTTAGGTGAAAGTTCACAGCACAAATTAATTTCTCATTCAAAAATTTATACACAAATTGTTTTGTGACATTGGTTGCAATCCCCAAAATGTGTCAGCACTCTCCCCCTTTCCTTTTCCACCCGGGTTCCCAGTGTCCATTTGTTCAGTCTTCCTGTCCCTTCCTGCCTTCTCGTCTTTGCGTTTGGGCAGGTGTTGCCCATCTGGCCTCGTGTACTTGATTGAACTCAGAAGCACGTTCCTCGAGTGTGTTCCTGTTTGTTTTCTGGGCCTGTCTAATCTTTGGCTGAAAGGTGGATTTTGGGAGTGGCTTCAGTTGAGTTAGCAGGGTGTCCGGGGGCCACTGTCTCGGGAGTTCCTCCAGTCTCTGTCAGAACGGTAAGTCTGCTCTTTTTGTGTGAATTTGAATTTTTTTCTATCTACATTTTTCTCCCACTCTGTCCAGAACCCTCTATTGTGATCCCTGTCAGAGCGGTCCCCACCTCTTTTTGGATTACACTTCTGTTTCACCTACAGAGTCACTGATTGTAAAATGAATGATTTCTAGGTAAAAGTGGCTCCTTCTTCTGGGCCAGTAGGTCAGGGGTCATTCTTAAGGTTATGCCCAATAACCACAGAGACAAAAACACAACCAATCCATGACTAGAGTCAGAAAAGTTAGACGTTTATATGATCCGGAAAATGAAAAATATAGTGGGTTTTCTTTCCCCCTTCTAAAAGCAGCTGAAGTCTACAGGCTGCCTCCTGATGGCCCCCGTCTAGCTCCATGGCAACCAAAACCCTATGGCCCTGTTAGACTTTACAACCTGCCAACTAGCCACCAACAGAAGCTTGGGAAGTGCTGGTGAACCTCACTGTTCCCTCTATGAGGTGCACAGCAGCTGAGAAGTCAATAGGATGGATGCCTTTAGCGTTCTTCCCAGCTTTCTACTGATGTGGTGGGAGGCTGTCATGTGTTGGAGCACCCAAGAGGATAGGCTCTCTGTCAGCAGTAAACTGCCAGTGAAGTGGGGATTCTTCCATTGTTCGACTGCCCACAACAATGATACAGGACAGAAATCATGAGGCACAGTCTCTGGATTCCCAGGTGGGTACCAGGCATTCTCAAAGTGTTCTTTTGTGAATGAGTCCCTGTTCCACAAACAAGAAGGCTATGTCTTGTATCCCCAACACTGAGGAGAGAAAAGTAGCTAAAATACAGTAGATGCTCTAGAAATGCTTGTTAGGATAGATGGATGTCCAAGGGCAGGGGGCGCCAGAGGCTGTTTTGTTATCTGATGTCTGGAACTACAGAAAGGGGAAGCATAGCTGTAGCTGCTAAATGGGTTTTCTAAAAGAAACCAGGACTCAAATTTGTAGTGTTAGATGAAAATTTCTGCCACGGTATAAACAATATGGTCCTAGAGACAGAGAGACCTGGGTTCAGATGTGAGTTCTATCACTTATTAGCTGTGAGATGTTGGGAAAGCTGTTTAACCTCTCTAGGCCTTAATTTCCTCATTTGTAAACTGCAGATAATAAAACCATCCTTGTAGGATTGCTTTATGGAGCCCTGGTGGCACAACGGTTAACTGCTTGGCTGCTAACCAAAAGGTCAGTGGTTCGGACTCACCCAGAAACTCTGTGGGAGAAAGACCTGGTGATCTGCTCCCATAAAGATTACAGCCTAGGAAACCCTATGGGACAGTTCTACTCTGTCACATGGGGTCGCTATGAGTCCAAAATCTACTTGACAGCACCCCTGGTGGTGCAGTGGTTAATAGCTACAGCTACGAACCAAAAAACCTGGCAGTTCAAATTCACCAGCCACTCCTTGGAAACCCTAAAGGGCAGTTCCACTCTGTCCTAAAGGGTCACTATGAGTCAGAATCAACTTGACGGAAATGGGTTTGCGTTTTTTTTGTTTTTTTTGTTTTTTTCATTTAACAACAACAATAAGATTGTTTTAAGGATTCAGTGAGCTAAAGGAAGTGGGTGGTGGGGATGACACCTTCTCTCTGCACATCCCTGCTGGGTCATGGCTCATATAGGAAGGCGCTTCCACCAGTACTTCCAGTCCCTCCAGTTAGGTGGTGGAAGGGAATTTCCACCCCTCTCTCTCTTTCTCTACAATGTGACTGGCAAGTGCCTAACAACCATGGGACCACATCTTTCAGGTGCTGGGTTCACCGTGTCAAAGGTCTTGCTGGTGTCAGGCACATCTCTGGCCATATGTCCCGCCTGTACCTCCTGTTCCAGGGCACCCTCTCGAAGCCTGCTTTTCTGTCCATGGCTGGAAGATAAGTCAGGCCTGCCTCCCTGTGGGCCCAGGGAGCATGTCTTCTTTTCAGGCTGAAAGGTGAAAATACTTAATCTAGTCCCTTCTGGAAAGGCCTCCACCAATAAAGCTGATACGATGACAGAATATGTATCTTCTCTTTCTTGACTCCAGTAATTAGACCCAGAGGGAAGGAGGGCTCAGTCTTAGGCAGTGTTTCAGAGTGTTTAGCATTTAACAGCAAGTAACGGCAATGTATTAGTAAGGCTCTTAGAGGGTCCCTGGTTTGTTCCTCCTGCTTCAAGCCCAGTGAGTTCATTGAAATCCAACACCGTTGAGACCAGTGCTTCTCAAAGGGAGTAGGCACTGCCCTCTAGGGGGTGTTTTGAAAATCTCTCAGGATGTTTGGGTTGTCACAATGATGCAGGGACCCTACTGGCATTTAGTGGGAGAAGGGGAAAGAATGCAAGACATCCTGCAATGTGTGGGGCAGTCCTGCACAATCAAGTGTTTCATGCCCCCCAGGACTTTCGAATATCCTGTTAGACACACATATAGGTCTAAAAAAAACCTGCTTATGATACTTACTTATACATGTATATTTATACATAGCTATGTGTATATATGTGTGTGTGTATAAATATTTTATATTTAATAACGGAAGATTCGAGGAAAGATATGGACAAATATGCCTACCAAATTGTTACTAGTGCTATATTGGTTGGTTGGGTGGAGTCATACGGAGTTTTTTCAACTCAGTTACACATTTCAACATGGCTTCAAGTTTTTATAAGAATGTTACTTTTGTAATTGGAAAAAACGATTAAAGATTACCAAAACTTGTTAAGCAATTTACAAGAAAAATCATGCCCTGGAGATATGATATTTTAGAAATAAATTTACTTATATTAATCAAATAAATTCAAGTCACCAAAAACAAACAAACCTTGCTTATAATTTTCTGAGCCTAGAATCTAAACTGCTTCATATAGAAACACAGCTTACGTTTTTGCATTGCTTTAATATACACTCAGTTTTCCAGGAATTCAGTAACTATGACAATGGAGATGAGACTGTGAAGAGCGGTTCACTATTTAGGAAAATCCAGGCACTGACACCAACACTGTTTATGGTATTTGAGTCACCGCTCCAATAGATGTGTGTCAGTCACATTTGGGGCCATGACATTGACAGCGATTTTGATAAGCATCTGCATCTATTTTTATTAGGTCTTCGCGTGCTGGCACGCCTGAGCATTTCCTCTCCTTTTATTTCCCTTTTATATTTCAATTAACAAACAAACCCGTTGTCGTCAAGTTGGTTCTGACTCATAGTGACCCTACAGGACAAAGTAGAATGCCCCATAGGGTTTTCAAGGAGCAGCTGGTGGATTTGAACTGCCCGACCTTTTGGTTAGCAGCTGAACACTTAACCACCGTGCCACCAGGGCTCCATATTTCAATTATGGCAACATACTTGATTGTTTAAAATTTTATATGTAGGTAGGCTATAGTATGTACGAATCTCACGTCAGGGTTGTAAAGGAGGTGTTACAAGATGTTTGTCATAAAAGGGGACATTGGGACTGGCAAGGTTGAGAGCCATGGATTTAGATTCTCAGATCACAAGTAATGCCTTCATCAATTCTGGCCTCCAGGCCCTTGCTTAAGCTCTCACACAGGCAGTGACAGTCACAACAGAGGAAGTTTGGAGATGGAGTCTTCTTGTCACTGCACATGACTACAGATCTATGTTCGTGTAAAACAGGATCCTCATCCCTCTGGGGTGGAGTGGGGGTAAGCAGGGACTTCCCCCCATAACAGAGAATGAAGAAAGCCACTTGTTAGAACAAAGATGGAAACAGAACTGGTCTGTGCTACTTACAGAGGTCTTCAGAGGCATCTGGGGCAAAGGCAGCCATGGACTCATATAGCTCCTCGTCACAGCCGGGGTTCAGGGAGCATTTCATGAGCAGGTCTGTGGAGAGGTAGGCCATGGACTCATACACGGCATCAGCCTCCTCCCCTTGCATCAGTTCCTCCTTAATGTGACTTTTCAGCATGTCCACAGTTTCCTGAAAGAGAAGACAAGACCCAAGGCACTAAGACAGCCTGGCTTTCTGGGTTGAGTTAGGCCCCCACAAGCCGGTCTGTGGAGGGCAAAAAAGGTTCAGATGGGCCAGGATTGCAATTGTTTGTGTATGTCGGTATTTCCCAGCAGACTGGAAGCTCCTTGAAGCCAGGCTCCATGTATTTTTTTGTTTTTTTTTTTATTGTGGTAAAAATATATATAAGAAAACCTTTGTGATTTCAACATCTTTTACACGTACAGTTCAGTAACATGAATTACGTTCATTATATGCTGTGCAACCATCATTGAGTTTTTGTTAACGGTGATGGGAAAATTTGGAAATGGATAGTAGTGACAGTTGTTTTGTTTTTGGTTTTAATCTCTGTGTGTTCCCATTACTCTAAGCACAGGGTCATGCACTCAAGAGACACTCATTAAAAGTCCAACGACTCGAGGTTGCAAATTAAAAACTTTCTCTTGAGCACGTACTATGTACCCGGTATCATGCTTGGTATTTGCCTCTCCATTATCTCACGTCAATCCTTCTTTCTTGAGGAAAGTATAATATTCCTTACTTTACAGATGAGAAAACGAAAGCTAGAAAAATCCAAGTGCCTTACTTAAGAGCTCACAATCTTCGCTTTTGACCTTTCTACTATACCTTAGTGGTTCCTCAACAAGGAACAAATGACACAAGAGAATGTGACACTTACTGACGAGTCACACTGGAATTCAAATGGGCTAAACAGGGCTGAGTTAGATGTTCTTGCACTTGTGGGTATACAGAGGCCCCCCAGTAACTTGATACACGAGACTCCCATTTCTATCAGCAGGTTTCTACCCGTTCCTCCCTTGATCTTATGTCTTATGACCCAACAGGGCTTTTAGAGCCAGTTTTGGATGATGTGCATGAAGTCAGAAAGGTTGTCCCTCTGTTCTTGTGCCTCCAGGTGGTTGTGAAGCTAGATGGCTGGCTTCTCTGAAATGTCTGCACAACTTTTCCTGGTAAGAAACTCTGGTGTTTCACAATCCTTATTTCAGCATGAACCCACAAAAATCCTCATTTTCATCATCACTACCCTTGAAGAGCTAATCTGCTTACACTTTATGTCAGTTTCCTGGAGGGAATTCAAGGAGTGGACCAGGTGACAGCTACGAAGTGATAGAGACTCAGGGCCTCGCATGTGGTTTCGATGTCATGGAAAGAGGAAACAGGACAGCTCTTTAGAGGTAAGCAACATGTAAGGACAATCTCTTGGTAGCAATGCTAAAGATGCATTGGTTGAAGGTGACTATCGTCAAAGAGCAAAGATGATATGAGTAATGTGAATCAGATTAACTCCAATGCAAACTAAAAACATCTTTAAACTTTCCTGTTACATACAGCAGGATAAATAAGCCCAGCTTTAGCATCAAACTAGGTTCAAATCCCATCTCCACCCTTACTAGAGAGTGACCCTTTTCTAAGCCCTTTTCCTCATTTGTAAAATGGGGTAACAGCAGTGTCAACTCAAAGAACTGTGATGAGCAATAAATAAGACAATGCATTTGCCAAGCAAATAAATTCAACAAATAGTAGTTATTACTATGAACGCAATATATCCTTAATAAAAACTATTGGTACGGAAATGAAATGCTGCATTTTATACATGTGTGACTCCAAAGTAAAGCCAAGTAAACACTCCTGGACTGTAAGTGCCATTTAGCCTCACTGTATGTCAGTGATGCCCCAAGTAGGGACTCATGCTGTTCAAAACACTTACATGCCCCCAAATTTTGGGAAAGTCCCCAAGGAAAGGTGACTCAGTGAGTCATTGCCTTATGGATTTTAAAATACAGAGTAGAGAATAAGTTTCTGGGGAGATGTCAGGCTCACTGCTGTCTGGAGGTAGAGAGAGCAAGCTTGGATGGTAATCACCGTCCCTTCTGAGGGCCACAGCCCTGCATTAGAGACTAGGCTATTCTTACCTGCCCTCCATGTGCCTGTGAAAACAGAGAAAACCAGAAAGGGGTGGAGCCAGGAAGAGCAGTTGCCTCCAAGACAATGGAATAAGACCTAAGCATGAGGTGAGATCTGGCTCAGAGAAGGACCCAGAAGTCAGTGATCAAGGAGGAGCTGGGGTCCAAAACCAGATGAGCAGACATGCTGAGGATATCTGTCTGTCTAAGGTCAGACGCAGCAGAGGGTCATAAAGAGGCAGGCTATTAGCAGGAGACACAGCCTCATAACTAGCCTCCTTGATGCCTCAGATGCCAAGTTTTATTGTAGCCTCTGCTAACGAACCAATCCTAACATAGCTCACCTGAGTCTAAAGGTGGGCGAGGTAGCTAGGAGCACCTGGCCAAAGTGTCTTGAAGGTGGATGGGGAAGGGGGATCAACATCAACCTTTAGCCGATCGACTCTATAAATGTCTCTGCAAATTCTTTGTGGGTGGACGTCAATGCTTTACATAGATTATTATTTTTTATCATCAAGACAACCCTATGGGTAGAACTATTATTATCTTCCTTTTGCATATTAGGAAACTGAGAGAGAGGATAAGTGACTTCCCCAATGTCACGTGACTAACAAGTATTGGTGCAGAAGTTTGAACCCAGGTCCATCAGACTACAGAGCTCATCTCTTAACCCCACACATACTGCTGACGGCCAGAAGAGGCACATGAAGACATCTTGGAGATGAAATCTGGCCATATCTTTGGTGAAGATGCAGCCCTAGGATCACATAGTGTATTTACAATTCTGGGGCTACTCCCACCTTGAACTTACCACATACTCATCGATGAATTGCCGCAGGTCCCTGAAGCCATGCTTCTCAGCGATTGTGTTGGGGTAGTGGCCATACTTGTTGGCCACACTGTATGCCTGGAGGGCTCCTGGGCAGGTGAGCAACAAGGCAGTGAGGTTCTTCAGTCCATACTTCGCAGAAAAATGCAACAAGGTGGGCAGCTCCTCATCCCTCTGATCTGAAAAAATGCCAAGGAAAACTAAGTGGACAGATAACTCTTGTTCACAGAGACAAAGCTGTCAGGCCTAGCATGGCACCTAGTAGACACTTGTTGGCTGCTTGACCAACCATTTGACAGTTTCCTTAGTGGTATCACTGAAGATCATGTCCTCGGATGACAGAGCAGATGACATTTTAATTAAGTAGCAAATCTAATCATTAATATCATACCTTCTTTCTCCAAAAGGATAAGAGAATCCTGAGAAATAATATTAATTGAAAATGTGTTCTAAACTCTTAAATAACAGCCACAATGTCTGACAAGAATCATGTTTTGACCTTTTCTAGCAAATTTCAGTGCACAATAAATTCCTGTTTTGTGCTTATTAAAGGAAAGAAGTCCATCTCTTAGACCTTACCTCCAATTTCATAAAGATATGCTAAGTGATCCTGGATATGTTACTTAATCTTCCAGTAGGCTTTAGCTTTGAACTAAAAAAATATGTACAGACTATCTCAAAGAGACCTGGGAGGATTAATAAGACAGTATTCACTGAAGTCCTTACTTGGGAGAGGTTTTGAATATTCATGGAAAACAAAGAACTCCTGAGAATCACTGGATCCCCATGGTCCCCTCACTACTGATATCTAGCTATGACAAGTTAAACTCAACCAAGAAAATAGACATGTCTGTGTTGTGGAGTTAGGGGACAAATCCTTTTCCCCCAACAAAGTTTATTTCTAAGCCCAACAGTGATTTTTTTTTTTTTTTAAACATGATAAGCCCAGCTTCCTATTCACCAGGATATGATCCTCAGGATAAAAGGTCTAAAAGTGTCCCCAGAGCCCCATGATGTCAGGTTATGACATGCTCTCTCCTGAGCTCCAAATTTAAAAACAGAGAATATTAACACCTGCTGGAAATGATGCACAGGCATTCCACAGTAGGAAAATGGGGAAAGGCAACAAGACAGAGAAGGCCCCCAGGAGAAGGACTAGAAGGTAATGAAGCTTCATCCATATGGTCCTCTCAGGTTATGAAAGGATGGAACGCAGGCAGAAGGTCATCAGAGACCTGGGAATCGTCTGTGCAGTTACAACTACAGTGTGAGGGAACAGCATGTCCATGAAAGCCCCATAACAGGCATCTTGTCCACAGCACTAGGCCTCTCCCAATTCCCAGCATGTCACATGTGCACAAGAGGAAGCTCCTTCCTCATTAAACAAGTATCTGTTCAGAGCTTACAATGAGCCAGACACCCAGGCATAGTCTCAACCCTCAACTGAGCTTACAGCCTAGCAAAGCAGACAGACAAAGCTGATGAGTGCTAGGACAGCGGACACTGAATATGCTGGGCGGTGGGGGCACAGCAGGTGGATAAAAGCTACCAAAGCTTCCAAGAAATTCTCCCTGAGAAAGCACTGCCTAAGCTGCTGCAGGAAGGTAAAGAGAAGTTAACCAGGTGAAAGGCGACCAGGGAGGGGAGAAAGATACTGCATTCCCAAGAGTCGAGAAGGCAAGAGACAGGCGGCATTTTCATTACATGAAAGACGGTCATACCTTCCACAGAAGAGAACACAGAAGCCAAGAAGGGGAGTGGGGAGAGATGAGGGCAGAAATGAAGCAAGGGCTCCTTGGGAAGGGCATGTAAACAGGTTAAAGGAGTTTCGACTTTGTCTAGAAGGCAAGTGTGAACCACAGAGAGTTTTAAGCAAAGAGGTGAAGTATTGAGATCTGCATTTTAGAAGAATCTCTGGCTGCCCAGTGGAGAATGAGTCCTGAAAGGATGAGCAGTAGAGTAGGGGCCAGCAGAGAGTATGTGCACGGGATGACTAGATGCTGAAACCAGCAGGGTCAAATCAACTGCCTCTTGGTTTCCTGAGTTTTGACTGTTGGCTTACTTGTCATCATATTTTCTTCTTCCAACTGGTTGATTCCAAAGAGGTGCAGTCCATTTGCAGGGATGTTGTTCTTCAGGGACTCGGTTAGCAGTTTATCAAGGGTCTCTGTGCTGTAGGGCACAATTTTAAAGGCCTGGATAAAAAAGTGAAGACGGTCAGATGTGAAATCCAAGTATCTCCCAACCATCACATTAGAGGCTGATAGACAATGAGCATTTCTACTACCTGCCCAGAAATCTCAGGTTTCCTTTCAACATCCTTACCTGACACATGAACTCCACAGGGTTCGCAGCACTGGACAATAAATTTCCAATTTCTTCCATGTCAGTATAATAGCTGATGGTCGTTTCACACACCACTAAGTCCCCGGAATATACCTTCAGAGAAACATTCCCAGGCGAAAGGTCTGAACAGAAGAAAAGATACCATAAAAATGAAGTGCCTAGTGAGCCGTGGGTCAGGAAGCTACTAAAATGGTGTATGAGACAAATTATGAGAACCTAAACCAGAAAAGCAGTGGAGGGAAGAGGTGTATAAAGAGTTAATTGTAAGACAAGGTCAGCTGGACTTGGTAACTGATTAGATGTGTAGAGTGGTAAGGGAAAGGGAAGCCTCTAGGGTGACGGAGGCTGAGAAGGTGATATTAAGGGACTTCGAAACACAGTTCTGATCAGGTCATCCCCTCCCCTTAACACCATTCTCCATTGTGTTTCCCTCAGTGTGGTGCATGGACTGCTGCTTGGCTACTAGGGGAGTTTGGGTGGTACACAGAAGAATGTGTTTATTTTAATAGTTATTATTTATTCTTATGTTTATTAAAATAAATGTAAACAGCCTATCAAACCCATGGTTTCATAAATATGATTGCTTAGGACAAAACTAAAAAAATTTAAAGTTAGTCAATTTAAATAAAAAATATTAAACAAATTATGATACATGTGGTACCTGAATAAAAAAATAATAAAGGGTATAAAGAAATAATTAAAATCTGGGAAGCATGGCTTAAAGAAAAAAAAATGAGGTACCCAGGAAGAACGAAGGTTCAAGGAAAAGTGTTTGTGGATATATATGCTCCATCCTCATGGTGAAGAAATTAATTGAGGGCTGAAAGGAAGATCTTGGAGCAGAGCTGGGAGATGGCGGAGAGAGGTAAGGGTGGAAGAGGAAGGTAAGTAGACCAGTACACGGGAGGACTCTGAGTTCTCTGGGTCTGCAATTTAATTTTCAAAGGAGTTTTATCCGTTGTGTTCACTACCGTAGGCCCAGTGCCTCAGTAAACATGAAGGAAAGTTTAGTGGTGGCCAGAAGGTGGGAGAGATCCTAGGAGGCGGAACTTGTGTTTCTGCCTCATTGGGAGAGTCAAACTGATTCACTTGCTCAGCTGCTGTCATTACTACGTGCTCAGCCTGGGGCAGGATTCTACACCACAGGAAGGGGTTTTGAGAGGGAAAGAAAAAATTAAAAATACACCAACCACAAAGATTCGATTCACAAAAGAGGAAACGCAACAAGTAGAGAACATGGAAAAATACTCAACCTCACTAGTAATCAAAGAAATGCAAATTAAAACAACGAACTACATTTTTTAAAAAACTATCAAATTAGCAAAAATAGTTAAAATAATAATGCTTGCTATTGGTGATGGCAGAGCAAATACGCTTGATAACAGAGCTATTTCAGGAAGCAAGTAAGCTCTATTTTCCAAGAGCCTTAAAAATTATCAGTTTCAGAGATTCCATCCTGAGGAAATAATCCTAAATTCCAAAGGGAAAAACAAACAAACTCCATGCACAGAGATGCTCATTATATCATAATTAAAAACAGTAAGAAAATCAGAAATTACATAAATATATAGCAAGGAGGAAATGGAAAATTAAAAGATGATACTTCTATTCAACTAAGGCTTTAAAAAGTATGGGTATAAGATGCAGGTCCAACACAAGGGACTGGTTAGGTAAATTATGGTCCACCCATACAGTGGATTACGTTGCACCATTAAGCATTACTTTGTGAAAGAATATTTATGAACGTGGGAAAATACTCACAGGAAACAAAAGTGAGCAACAAGAAAGTATTAAGCTATGTATACAGATATGGAAACATACGGAAACCAGTGATTTCCTTTGGGGGGTATATGAGTAATTTTCTATTTATTTCCCTTTATGGCTACTGTATTATTCACGTTTTCTGCATTCAGCACACATTATTTCTGTAACAAAAATGTTATGAAATGGAAAGTTACAAGTCCATGTAATAGCATGGGGGTAAGGAGGTGGGGACCGGATAAATATTATATAAGATTATATAAATAAAAATAGGATACAAAGTAATAGATACTCTCAGAACAATGCAAAAATGACCAAGTGATCAGGTATCAGATGGCTTTTTTTTCCTACTCTTCTCTAATTTCAAAAGCATTTTAATATATTAAGTTTATAATGGTAAAAATGATAATATGTCAAGTTCTTGTCCATCATACATATCCATTTTTGCAACTTCTTTTTCATTTAAATAGAACATGACAACCAAGCCCAAATCTTGGTGTCACTTTTCTCAGCTGCCGAGTAAAGACAGGAAAAGAAAAAGAAAGCAAGAGTGAGCCTCTTCCTTAACACGATGCCTGATTTCCAGAGGCAAGTAGGTCTACTTACTGGGCGCCTTCACTGAGATGGTGTACTCATTCTCCAGCTTGGCTTCCACCCGTCTTGAGGGAGAATTCTCAGGAGAAAATTCTGCTTCTGTCGTCACTCTCTCATCCAACTTACATTTCACAATAATGTAGACCATGGTTTCTGCCTGGAATGGAGACCAGTCATTGTCCCCTCACCCTCCTAGATCCCCTATTAGGGTACTGGGCCCAAGGCTCTAGACCTATGTGTGTGCTCCCGGGCAGGGTGGGGTCTGCAGTCCAAGGCTGGGCAGCAAATTGTTTTCTACTGGTCCCAGTGAGACAGGTTACAAACCCCTAGGATAAACATTTATAAACCTTTATAGCAATTGAATGGAGTAACTTTATATTTTTAAATCTAATAAGAAAAAACTGGGGCTTATATTTTGTACACCTTTTTGTGGAATTTTTATAGTAAATCTTTTGTTTTATTATTATATTTTATAAAAGCATTAGTCCATAAACCAAAAAAAAATAACCTGTTGCCATCGAGTCAATTCTGACTCATAGCGACCCTATAGGACAGAGTAGAACTGCCCTGTAGGGATTAGTTCATGGCAGAATTGGAAATTTAAAAAAAAAAAAAGTTCTTCACCACAGATACAGCACTGTTCTAGACAAGGCTTGTTCCTCAAAGTGTGGCCAGAGGACCAGCAGCATTGGCATTGCCTGGGAGCTTGTTAGAAAGGCAGCATCCCCGGCCCCACCCTAGGCCTGCTGAGTAGAGTCTGCATATTAATAAGATCCCAGGTGATTCTTCTGCACCTTAAAGTGTGAGGGGAGGCCGAGAGAGGCTTTCTTGGGCCCAGCTCCTTGTGATGCTCCTGGCTGGGCAAAAATGACTTATTGGGGAATTAATTTTCCCTACCTGGATTTTGAAGACATAAGCACCAAGGCATCAAGCAACTTAGCTATTTTACCTTGCTTTAGGATCTCTTGCTGAGTCTGCCAAATAGAATTATCTTGTTTTATTGTGCTGATTAAGCTCACAAGTAGTCTTCTCAGTTTTGAACTGGTAGGGACAGGCCCTCCAAAAACCAGGAAAAAGGAGATTTCTGGCTCTAGCTAATCCCCAGAGGTTCATCCTAAGATTCTGCTCTAAAGTCCTCGTAGTAGCCCTTCATGACAAGCACCATGAGGAGGGTGTGGCAAGCTGGGATTTAACACCAGGTGAAGGAGGTAGTGTAATCTGGCTGATGGAGGCTGGCAAGGCTGCAACTGCGTATGTTTGTGTTGTCATCACTCCTGATACAGGCCCAACCCTGTCCCACCTGCTCCTTCTCCCAAGAAGCGTGTGGGAGCCAGAGAGAACGAGTGCCTCTCCCCTGTTGACAGTCAGAACCCAATCGCAGCCTAGCTGCCCCAGGGCCTGGAGACCTAGAACAAGCAACAAGAGAACCCTAGGTTAATGGGAAGCCAGGAAGGGAGGAGAGAAAGCCTAGAAAATCAGAGAGGCATGTGAAGGGACTCAGTCTTTCGTTCCAAATCTCCTTACCTACAGATACCCAACAGCCTCATCTCGGGGGAAGGGAAAGGCAAAGGGCAGAAGTAGCAAAGGCCAGTAAGGAAAAGGAGTGAAGACTAAGTATAAGGAAAAGGGAGTGGTGGGGACCAGCAGACTGGAGAACACACATTCCTTCCAAAGGGCTGCTCAGCCCCAGTCTCAGGCCAGATATTGCCAGATTCTGATTTAAAGTAAGCTGGAAATACAGATCTTTATGCCTCAGTTTTAAAACACTGTGCAGATGAAACCAAACATGTCTATGTGTCAAACCCAGCCCAAAGCAGTAATTTACAACCCCCATGTGGGGAGTCCTTGCCCAATGCCTCATAGCCTTAGGCTGCAGAAAACTGCTCACAAGTGCAAGAAGCCAGTGCTTCCTGTCCCCAAGGCACCCTCCTCCAACTCAAGGAGTCCGTGGTGGCAAACTCAGTGAAGGACTTGTATCCATGAGGGAAGCATTATTGCTGCTCTGAGTTAGTATAAACATCACATATTTCTCATTAGGAAAGGAAATATAATGAAAAACTATAAATACTATGGTGGGACTTAACTGACAGTGGCACATGAGCGGGCCCATCACGTTCAAGTCACTTGTTAACATACACCCCACCCCTGAAAGTCTTAGTCATGCTATGCATATGCATATGTCTGATTCCTTTAACAAGTAATATTGGCCAGCGAGTTTCAGTCATCAAGCTTCAAGGCACTCAGCTACGGCCAGGCTAGTGACCAGCTGATGGGAAAGCAATCCCTTAGGGTGCCCAGCATGTCCTTCCCCACGGAGTTAGGGAAGTAAGGAAGGATAGCGGGAACCCACAGTAGGGAAGGCTAGGGGGACAGACCCAGGCCTCCAGCTTCAGGGTTGGCAATTAGTGTCTGGTAATGCTTGTGTCTGTTGGTCTCCCAGATGTTCTATTTTTTGATTCATGACATAGAAGTTTTAGATTAATGACGTAAACATTCCTGGGCTCATCTCTCTTTGACTTAAAGGAGCTACATATGTTCAAGGTCTAAGTAATAGGGTTCCCAGGTAGGTGATGTACAGGGGAAACCCCAAGGGAAGGCTGGGATTACACTGACGTGCAACATGAGAATCCCACTCCTTTTACTGCAGTACACGCATCCATTGAAAAGCCCATGTTCTGACAGTTATTTACCAGGACCCTGGAATGCCTACCCCACAGCGGATGCGGTCTGGCTGCACCACCATTAGGTTCCCAGGCGAATTCTCCAGTGGTAGGTGCTGCTGCTTCGAGTAGGGAAGGGCCTTCTCGTCCTCAGTCTCAGTGTCGGTGACTGAGTCACAGCCAGAATCTACGGGAAAAGAGGACACCACTGAATGGGAACAGAAGGAAGGAGAACTTGTGCGCATGTTTCACCCCATGAAAGCCCCAAATGTTACCAAATAGGAAATGGGTTTGAATGTTAAACAAATACAAGCTGAAGGGAGTGACTCAGAAAATCACGGAAAAGGAGCTAAAGGGAAAAAGTCAACCGCTGTGTAGGTCACAAGGGTAGGGTGACAGCAAGAGGACGACTGGTGCAGGAAGGCCAAAAAATCTGAGGCAGCCTCTTGTCTGAGGCTGGCAAGTCCAGTCTCAACCAATAGGCTTCCGTAAGGTTTACCTCCAGATTTCCCTCAGGGCTGGCTTTGGTGGTTATGAGGAAAGGAGGCCCCTTCTCCACAGGTAGGGTCACAAAGGGGCTGTGTATTTAAAGATCATCCTCTGAACATCAGGTAAAATCTGTGCTGTCCAGGAAGACATTAGACCTTGGGGTCATGACTGGCCCAAGCACTCCCTCTGGGAGCAACAGTGAAAAGCAATCATTTTTAACAAACCTAAGATTGGTCTAACCAGGTTCCACATCACTATACAGCCAACACTTCTACTGTGGAATTATTAGAGCATGTACAGATTCAGAGCAGGTGAGCAGGGGTATGGCTCAGAGTGAGATGATCCTGAGACAGTATAACTGAAACTCAACAGAGGTCTAAGGTAGGGGTTCTGTGTGAGTGTGTGTGTGTGTGCTTGAGGTGAAGGTTTAGAGAGCAAATTAGTTTCTTATTAAACAATTAATACACATACTATTTTGTGACATTGGGTACCAACCCCACGACGTGTTAACACTCTCCCCTTCTCAACCTTGGGTTCTCCATTACCAGCTTTCCTGTCCCCTCCTGCCTTCTCGATCTTGCCCCTGGGCTGGTGTGCCCATTTAGTTTCGTATGCATGGTTAAGCTACGTGTATTAAGGTTACTTTTATGGGCCTGCCTAATCTTTCGCTGAAGGATGAACCTCAGGAGTGACTTCAGTACTGAGTTAAAACGGTGTCTGGGGGCCATATTCTTGGGGTTTCTTCAGTATGTCAGACCAGTAAGTCTGGTCTTTTTTTGTAAGTTTGAATTTTGTTCTATATTTTTCTCCAGCTCTATCCAGGATCCTGTATTATATCCCTGTCAGAACAGTTGGTGGTGGTAGCCGGGCACCATCTAGTTGTGCTGGATTCAGTCTGGTGGAGGTTATGGTATTTGTGGTCCATTAGTCCTTTGGACTAATCTTTCCCTTGTGTCTTTGGTTTTCTTCATTCTCCCTTGTTCCAGACAGGGTGGGACCAGTAGAGTGTCTTAGATAACTGCTCATAAGTTTTTACGAGCCCAGACTAAGGCAGTGTTTCTTTTTTTTTGTTTGTCTGTTTATTGTTGTAGTTTAAGTGAAAGTTTACATTTCAAGTTAGTCTCCCATACAAAAATGTATACATACATTGTTATGTGACCCTAGTTGCTCTCCCTATACTGTGACAGCACACTCCTCCTTTCCACCCCTGATATCCCGTGTCCATTTAACCAGCTCCTAACCCCCTCTGTAAAGCAGTGTTTCTTAACCGGGGTCTGGTGATGGATAGGCCTACCAAGGTTGTGTGCAAGACTGTATGTGTGCGTGTGTCTCCGTGTGTGCACGCACGTACGTGCATGTGCACACCCATACTTTTCTGGAGAGATAGTCCAAAACTTTCATCAGATCCTCAGAGAAAGGTAGGACCCCAAAACGGTTGAGATGGGTAAGAGGAGAGGGAAGCATCATCCAGGCCTTTTTTGGCGTTTTCTCTTGTTCATTCCTAAATCATTTACAGAAAACCAGCCGAACGTGTCAGGCACTGAGGAGGCATGAGGATGCATCAAGCATCAGTCTTGCCTTCAGAGAGCCCATGATCTAAAAGGGCAGGTGGGGTGAGAGGGAAGGGTTAGCTTGCTTGATTCCTGCAGGCTGGCCTCCCGGAGAGGATGTGGATTCCTGCAGAGCTGGTAGCAATTAGTCCTCCAGTTGAGAATGCTGAGGTGACAGATCAGGCCCCTTGGAAAGCCGTAGCCACAGGCTTGCACCTAGACCCTAGGTTATGCCAGGGGAGAGGCTGTGTTCCCATGACCATAAATGCTGAGGTGGGGAACAGGGCTGTGGGGCCAAAGTACCACCACATCCTGCTGCTGTAACTGTGAGGCATGGATGGACTCCCAGTGTCTTGCTCAGGCCAGTGGAGGGGCTGGTGCCTCCCCAGTCAGGCATCTTAGAAGCCCCACAGCCTCAGGCCGGGCTCCTGTCCCACAGCCTGATATCTGGCTCTGACAGATGTCTAGAGTGTGATGGGCACTGAAGAACGTACTCCTGCTGCTCTTGCCCTCTCCATGATTTCTCCCAAGATGTGCTATTCTGAAGGCCTGGTGGAGTGCTGCCAGGCCATCTGACCTTGTTTGCACGACAGGAATCCAGCAGAATCTAGTGCTAAGAGATGGGGCAAAAGACTCTGGGAGTTCCAAGGAGGGTGATATGGCTTTTAGCTGGGCATCACAGCCATCAGTCTCCTCATCTCTCCTTTCCTTTCCAGTTCTACTGGCTCCCCTCACTTGATGCTAATTACCACCCCACCCCACCCCCCCCCGCCGCAGAGGCTAACTACGGTAGTCTCCCCAGCTCCCTACTTTCTAAGCCAAATTACCTCGTCTGTCATTTTCTCTGCTGTATCCTAAAATCCCTTTCCTAAAATGGTCAGAGCCCATCCCTATGGACAGAGCTGTACATGCCACCCAAGCAACTCCCGCCCAACACAGGATTCTGTGAAGGAAAGAACCAAAAAGACCAGGAATAATGAATATTCTTCTTCTTGATGCTTACAGAATATCACATCGTTTCAATTTCTTAATACTGGATTCCTGGACATCCCATTTTTTAGTTTCCAAAGTTCTTCCTGGATAAGTTAACAATCCCGTTAACTTAAAACTGTCAATCAGTTACTTAAAACACAAAGGGGCTCCCTGGAACTACTTCTTGCTCCAGAATTGTTTAGAGATTATCCTGAGTGGCAGGAGTGGTGGGCACCAATTCTTGCTAATTATCTATTCTAATTTATTACACAAATATTATCTCCTTGGGATGGACCCACAGAATTGCTTCAAAAAAGAAAAACCCTCTATTTCTCCCAAATTACTGACCCATTAGTCTGCTGGCCAAGGAGTCAAAGTTCTAGTAAACATAACTAAGAAAAGAACAGAGAAAATATAAAAATAAGCCAAATGAGAAAGGAATGATAACTACAGCTATGTAAAAGACTTTTATAAACAGATTGGTATGAAAAACTCTATACTAAGAATTTTGAAAAAAATCTCAATGTAATTTTTATAGAAAAATATATTATCATAATTGTCTCAAAATAAGTGGAAATCCGACTAAATCAATAACCATGGGGGAAAAAAAAAAAACTCTTCAGCTTTGAAATAAAATTTAGAGTACAAGCCATATACCCCTCATTGCAGTGAATTTCTTTGGAATGATGTGCTTCTTTATAATATTCACTTTTCCTGTCTAGGAAAACTCTATTTATATAGGTATTATGTTTAGTAAAGTTTTAAAAAATAATGAAAGGTAGTCCTATTTTATAATAAGGTTATAAAACATTGAACAGAATGGACAAACAGAGCAAGTGAGTATACCTGATAGCCAAAAATAAAGTTTCATTTCCATAAAAACTTAATATGTGAGAAAGAAAGCATTAAAAATCAGTACAAAATAAAGGATGGTTAGCAAGAAAGACAACTCAGCAGACAGTGCTGGAAAAACATCAGCTAAAAGAGTGGAGAGGTGGGGAGGAGGGGACTGTTTGGATTCTTCCTAATTCTCATATACTTCAAAATAAAATTTAGATGGATTATAGATTAAAATGAAAAATAAAAATCAAACAAATTTTAAAAATTAAAACCATGAAAATACAAGTGAACATTTTATCCCCGGTTTGGGAAAAGACAGGCTCATCTTAAACAACTCAAGAAAGCACAGTCTAAGCAAGCAATGGACTCAATGACATGAATTTAAAACTTAAGTAAACTACACCAAACTAAAAACAAAATCCAAATGTTTATAGCAGGATTATTCATAATAGCCGGAAACAACCAAAACGTCCATCAACTGATGAATAAACTAAATGTGCTATGTCCACACAGTGGAATATTATTCAGTAAATAAAAAGGAATTAAGTGCTGATACGTGCTGCAATATACATGAACCCTGAAAACATGCTAAGTGAAAGAAGCCAGAAACCAAAGAGGACATATTGTGTGATTCCACTTACATGAAACTGCTAGACTAGCAAATCTATGCAGATAGAAAGTGGATTAGTGGTTACTTAGGGCTGGGGGTGGGAGGGGATGAGTAGAAGGAATAATAGCTAAAGGGTATGGAGTTTCTTTTTGAGGTGATGAAAATATTCTAAAATTGATTGTGGTGGTGGTTGCACAAATGTTGTGAATATCCTAAAAGCCTTTAAATTGAGTGAATACATGAATGAATTGTATGACTTGTGAATTATATCTCAATAAAGTTGTTACCAAATATAACCAATGGCAAATCATAAACTGGTTAAAAATTTGAAATAAATATGGCAAAGGATTAATCTCCTTAATATATGAACAGATCATAGAAATCTCTAAGAAAACACCCAGTCTAATAAGTAGACATTGACAAAAAAAGTAATACAAGTTACACTCCTTCCAAAATTAAAATATCATGCACCCTCACTAGTCACCATAGAAATGCAGATAAAAATAACATATTGCTCTTTTACTTTTTTCAAATTAGGTAAAGTGTACTCAGTGTGCTGTTTAAAGTGGGGTAGGCCCAGCATTACTGGCATGAATCAAAAACACTGGAAATAACAAATGTTGGAGGGGCTGGGGGAAGATCGGAACTCTTATGCACTGCTGGTGGGAATGCAAAATGATACAACCATTTTGGAAAATGATATGGCGCTTCCTCAGAAAGCTAGA